TGCTACCCGATCTGTTTGAGTATATGTACATTGATGCTTGCCAGGCGGACCCAAGATCACAGTCAAAAGAGGGCCACTGGTTGAATTTCATGATTATCGGCGAATCCAGTGTCGGGAACAGATCCATGAGGACAACAACCTGTTCAGGGATGCGAGCATCATCAACATTATCAATAAACCTTGCCCGAGGATGAGACACACCTCAGCTAAGGTGCCACACTATAAGAAAGATAAGAGATTACATAATACAGACTAATATAGGTAACCTAATGCTAAATACCACATTATGCATTCAGTTTGTGTTGTTGTTGGACGCGGAAGCCGGAGCTTAGGAGATGGACAAAGTGACTCATAGCACGAACGCTACTGAGGTCGGTTCTTCGCCATATCAGTTAGTTCATCTAACCAAACATGTTCATCGTCCTTCGATCCCCAGCTCGGAAGTCGGAAACTACCAACCGGCGCCAGGTTCGAAGTGACCAGGTGGTCCTTGTTCTCCCCACCGTTCATTCAGACCCCGAGCGCCCAAGAAACCTACGATGCGTGAGTCGGTGCGCTGGCATGCGCGACATCTGGCCTAGCCATCGAAGCCTGGTGCTTCATATAATGGTACTGAGCGGTTCATTCGCTCTTCCTACACTAAATGGGCAGCAAGGGATGCTAGAGACTGTTTGTTAATTAGCAGTTAGCTTGCGATAGTGTCATGAATGTACCAATGAGCAACATATGACCACAGCGCTGGTTTCTCTGGAGTTCGTGCTACTATCCGATTGCCAAAGCGGAAGTAGGGAGCTGAATTATGAAACACCACTTCGGACTTTAATGGTATAGCCTACCCTTAATACATCGGAGCCAAAGCAGAGCATCGCACCGTAGCGATCCCGTTACTGAGTACTCAGCTCACACTTCTTTCATATGGTCTATTACCAAACCCGATTCTTCCTCATGATATCAGCATGCATTCGTGGAACTAAAATGCTCCGTCCAAGTTAAGTGAGAGTTATTGGCTCTATGTAGTATTAAGTCACACCTGCCAAGTCACAGCTGCTGAACAGACATTTGTGGCTCTTCTAAAAAGTATGGTTGTCCAACGACCATTCTCCATATTCTGGAATGCTATATATATATGTATATATATGTATATATATATATATATATATATATATATATATATAAAGAGACTTAGCATGCAAGCACGCGGTTAGTAAATCGAATTCAGCGTGCCTACAAACGCTGCGCCGGTGCTGCCTACGTTCACTGCGGGACCCGTCGGCGCTTCGGCAGTGGTCCCGAGTGACCTCTTTCATGGCTCACTAGGCCTGCCTGACTAAGGCACTCGCGACCGCATGTATTACAACACAATGCGCTCGATGTCGATGGAGTACAATCCATCGGTGCTTGCCGCTTCCGCAACTGCCGCTTCTTCTCTGCATGCATGAGGGCTTTCTTCCGCACCTCAGCAACTGCCTTCGTGATTAGATCGCGCCATGCACCACGATATATATATGTATATATATGGTTGGCGGCATCCGGTTTCGGATTTGCCTGTCACTGTGGCCAGCCACAGGACGCCTGCGCCTACAGAGGGAACATGGGTGGCTTGCGCTGTACCACCCACAGCTCCATTTACACTCCCCATATCTAGTGTAAACCCGAAGGAATAGGACCGGGCAGTATGTGGATGAGGGCAAAATTTCAACAAAAGAACCGACCCACACTCCTTCACAGGCAGGCACATGCACACTGTATTTGGGAATCAAGCGCACACAAGGCCCTGGCTGGACCGTAGTCGGCTCCACACTGAGTGCATGGGACCAACTTTTGATCCTTACACGACCACAAGGATCGTGAACCCTGTCCCCTCCAGCAACGACCATCTGTCTCCTGGAGCCAGTATGGACGAGGTAGTGGGTAATAGACAGGTAGGCACCTTGTCAACGTGCACATCAAGGGCAGCCACACCGGAGATATCAAGTAACAGCCAATTACTTGAAACGACAAAATGAAATAAGAAATCGAATAATGCATACATATACAGGAGCATGGGTATGTAAAATATTAGTTACGAACAGATTCGCGAAAATTTCAAGACGTCAGAAAATATACTTTAAGAAAATGCCAATCACTTAAAGAGACAACATCGAGTAAAATGAAGCGAATAATGCTAACAGATGCAGAGACAACTCTTTACTAAATGAACGTATGAATTAAATTGATTGCCAAAAATACCGCGAAGGGTTCAATACGTCAAAACATATATCTTATGAAAATGCTACAATCGCAAAAATGTTATCCAAATTAACTACAATTAACTTCAGCGACGTGTGCAAGTACAGGTAGAGAGAAGTATGAGAAAGAGAAGCATTTGGACAAAATTGCATACGCACCATATGAAATGAAGGGACGTAGCATGCAAGCACGCAGTTAGTAAATTGAATTCAGCCTACCTACAAACGCTGCGCCGGTTCTGCCTACGTTTTCTTCAGGACCTGTCATCGCTTCGGTCGTGGTCCCGAGTGGCCTCGTTCATGGCTCACTAAGCCTGTCTGACCCAGGCACTCGCGATCGCATGTGCTACAGCACCATGCACTCGATGTCGATGGAGTAAAACCCATCGATGCTTGCTGCTTTAGCACTGGCCTCTTCTTCTCTGCATGCATGAAGTCTTTCTCTTGCACTTCGGCAACTACCTTCGTGATTAGATCGCGCCATGCACGCCTATCAACCGCCTTCGATTCCTATGACTTGCAATCAAGATTAGAACGTGAGAGGATCACTTTGATCATGTCCCGACAACGTAACTTTGGTTTCCCCATATGCCGCTTCCCAATACTCAGCTGATCATATAATAGTTGTTTCGGTATCCGCGTCAAATCCATACGCCATACATAACTGAGCCATCTCATGTCTCAGCAAAAGTATGGAGTCCACTGCATACATTCCACTTCTACGCAACACTTCCGTGTCCGCAACTCTGTCGCCCCATCCGATGCGCAGAATCCGTCGCAAACATTGTTGTTGGAACCGCTCGAGATATCGCAGTGCAAACCGAGTGTTCGTGATCGTTAGGCAGTAAGTGGCACACGATGAGAGCAGCCTGTCACCGTTCGCATTCGCTGAACCGGTGCCATGCGGGCCGATAACATCTGTCCACGCTGATGCATCACGCCCAGCGCGCGCGTTGAAATCACCCAGCAGAAACAGTCGGTCCCTCCTCCGTATAACGGAGGATAGCTCACTGTAGAATTGATCACGCGTGTCATCAGGATAACACATGGTCGGACCGTACGTGCTTATAAAGGAGGCAACCTTACCTCTTCCGAGTCGTTGGCGAACAGTCATCAGTCGCGCGCTGATGCCTGTTGCTTCACCCACCAGCTGGCCATGGAGGCGATCGGATTTTGCAGATCCGACCCCATGATCACGTGGTGCTGAGGCGGCGTTGCCCACCCAGTAGAATGTGTAGGCAGCACCTGCTTCATGCAACTTACCTTGCTCAGCGAGCCGGGCTTCACCTGAGCGCCGCAATATCGATGTGGTAGCGCGCCAGTTCCATCGCGACCAGTGCAGTGCGTCGCTTGGAGCGCTCACTGGAGTTCCGGTCCAGTAGTGTGCGCACGTTCCAGCACCTGATGCTGAGTGCTTCGCGCGCAAGCATACGATTGCATTGTTGGGCAATGGCACGCAAGGTGGCGGTTGTGTTTCGGAGGTTTGCTTGAAGGACAGCGCGTAGCCTTTGGCTCAATAGCTTGATCCACAAGGCAGTGAATTGTTTAGTGGTTTTCTTAGGGACTCCGCCCGGAGCCTTGGGCTCAATAACCTGACACACAAGTCAGTGGGGAGCAGATCCAGCTCGGGAATGTGATTGCAGAGACAGATTGGGATCTGCTTGACGACCATCACTCGCAGCCTTTGAGGTACTGGAACGATTCATATATGTTTTGCGACCGTAATTGGATACACCTGCGACCACGGCCAGATGCAGGTGGGTTTTGGCGGGTTTGCACCAATTTGACCAGGGGCTGTCTGGCTTGAGGCGGGTAGTAGCAAACCATTGGACACCTGGAGGTGCCCTCCCACCTCCCACAATGAGTGTCGCTCGTACTCTACGCCAATCGAGCTGTGAGATTATGACCCATAGATCTGTTGCCTCCTATGGCTAGGTTTTACGGAAGTGGGCCATCGACCACTTTCTAACCTTCGAAGAGGATGGACTAGGATACTGGCAGGGCGCTTACACCTGACATGAGAACGACTTGGGTCATCAGCCAAAGCCTTCGATTAAATGTACACCCGAAAGGCAGCAGGTGTAGCACATGGTCAGTTCACTGCTTAATGCGGATCGTTGTCCTGAATCTTAGCAGGGAAATGCGGTAACCCAACTCTTTCCCAGCGGTCGCCACGAGGTGGCATCCAGGACATGAGCACATGGCACAACAGTAGCAGCAGTGACTAGACCATCTGTCAGAATCTAGTCAACCGCAGCCTCAGCGTACAATATATATATATATATATATATATATATATATATATATAATCACAATCTGATCACAGCTAATGTGCCTTCAGAAGCATGGCGAAATAAAGGGGGGGAACGAAGTACAACATGATGAAACCGACTTTCTCGGTTTTACGCACGCCGCTTTAAGATTTTTTATGTTTTGGAGTTTTGTGTTACATGAGACGTTAACTAATAGATAACACGGTTGAACAGCACTGTCTCCATTGATGCCGCTCGCACGCCATAGCCTCCACCGTTTCTAACCACTGGCAGTCCGAATCACTGTAACACGGCCATGTATCAATTCGCTCAAACGTGATGTTCAGAGACTACTCGGTTGGCATTACGTGGAGGTACATCGGCAAACCAGACCTGTAGACTTGTTCGAATATCATACGTGTGTGTCGATTTACCTACCGTTTTTTCCAAATGTACCATGGTTTGTACTCTTGACTTACATTAACACCCCGGCTGTTTGCTCGTTCAAATTTTTTTATAGTCTGGAATACTTGGCTCAAGTCAAACACTTCTACGCCTATCCTCTCTTGTCTAATGTGTCACACAAGGGTCGTTATCTTATCTATGGAGCTACGTGGATTCTGGTTCTTGCCTGCTTTATTGTAGCTGTCTACTATTGCAAATATCTGGTGTCTTTGAGTGACGCTCGCCGAACGAAGTCCCGAGGATTTGTATCGGATCAGTCATTACGGAATACCACCGAAGGTGAGGTAGTTTGTCACATCTCAAACTAATCTTCAGCTTTTTTCATACCCTCTTCTTTTCCATGGGACTCGTATTTCGTAGTGGTTGTGTTGGCGAGACTGTTACAAGATGGATTTGAGTTGCGTTTGTCTTACCGTTGGCGCGCTGCCACTTGCAGCCATAGCCTAGGGTGAGCTGTGAGACCGGAGCTTCGTATAGTAAGAACGACGGCGGGCCCGGACAACTTGATTTCTCTGTAGTGCAACTAGCGTTATTTTGTTCAGATTCAAAGTGTTGCTTTGTATTAGTGGCGAAGCGATAAGCGGCTTGGTACAACTAAAACCATGAATTTGATCGATGTGTCATACAAAAGTAGTGATGTGAATGTCCATATGGTGGCTGCCGTGAATGCGCATCACCGTTGATCCATTCAGCGTCACTATTATCTGGTCAGTGGTTGAGAGCAAACGCCCTGTTTTATTGTGTGGATGAGGATTCCGTTTATTGTGTGTGAACCGCTGCGGTCTCTTCTCACATCTCGTTTGGTACACTGAAGTATGTTGACTACAGTAGCCTCGAATCACACTCCCACAGTCATAGTTATTAGAGTACCACTTATACTCATAGTCGTTCAGGGATTGTGGACAATACTTGGAATCATGGAATGGAGCGGTTATGATTTTGAACTAAAGAAGCGATTACAAGAGCATCACACACTTCTCTCTTCTGCCATATCTGATCGGTACCTATCCACTGATATTTGACCAACTAAAAGGCCCCATCCGGGAGGACCACACAGACCATCCCTAGTGGACTTTTCGATGAGTGTCTTCCTGCTTTTTTGTCATGTCATTGGCTGGCCACCTCGATATGAACACCTGCGTCCGAGACTTCAATTCTCGTAAATAAGCGGTGGTCATCCCGTATCTGGTTAAAGTGGTCACCACTGCTAATAACATAAGCGTCGACCTCAAAACGTCTATTGACAGCATCGTGAAAAGATAGCGTTCTTGCATCTTCTACCGAGGTCGATTTGCACTGTTCGATTATTGCTGTGCGTTTGTCTTTTATGAATTTTCTTCAAAGTTGTTATGTGCAGCTGTTCTGAGTAGGGTTCCGAATGCTGCTCACAGCCGATTTACTCAAGTCATTCGATATATGTTGAACAGTGTTGCTGTAGCCATTCACGTTTCCGCCGCACCTATTCGCTTTTACCCCATCAAACACCTGCCGGGCGAATATCCGATGGAGGAGTCGTTTATGATGCCGAATCAGCTATGAATGACCATTTCGCGTGAAGTTGGCGATTTCAAAGGTGCAGGTGTGAGAGTGCATCCTTGGGTAATCCGCTCAGCAAGCTCCGTCCTTAGCTGTATCAGCAACTAACGGTCGGAAATAAGTGTCTTTGTGTCTCATATTTGGAAGGTTTCAGTGATCACCCGTGTTGCTGTTCCAACGGTGGAGTTTCTACGCAACCGATTTGAAGTTCATAGCTCATGGGTTTGTGTCGCTGTCTCGGCCTGGTAATTTGAAACCGACGAGACAGATATTTCGTACCATTTACAGAATTTTTAAACCAAAACTTTTTCCTCGTAATACATAAAGTAGGGTATACGCTTACGGCATTTCGACACTATTCCCGGTTTTACATCTGTACACAGGTCATTTGCAGTGAGTGCTAATTATGGGTAGCTCTAAAGCAGTTGGTACCTACGAACACTCCAACTTTCATTCAATAAGCTGTGCTTACACACTGCGTCATAGCTCTCAACTGGTGCCACTCGGGTGAGCACTGTCAGCTTGATTGCACTCATACAAATTAAGCGTTACCGCAACAATAGAATATTGAGTCCATCTCATTTCGATGCGGGAATACGTGGTCTCTTCTCGCTTAGTTTATCATGTCAATCGTTGGCGTCTAAAAATGGTTGATACTTTTTCCTTCTTGTGTATAGGTGTGTTTGTCCCGATACACACGCTCTTTCTGAGTCTTGCTCTCTCTCGTTTATTACTAGTTGGCTCATGTTGCACTTAAGTCGAGGAGAATGATAAGCTGACCCTTATTATCGTTTGTATTTCAGAAAATCCTCGGAAAATCATGAAAGCTGACTAAATGGCGACCAGTTCATTCTTTTTAATCATTGTCTAGCCTTCGTATTTTATTAAAGTGTGTTATCAGTGTTTTTAAAGTATTGTTCTTGCACTGAACTTGAACTGTTGATTTGGGGATTTATTAGCTACCAGTGTGCTCTATGTTCGGGCTTCTGATTCCAACAATCTACCATTATGGCCAAATAACTGTGGGAACCCATTGCTGACCGCTGTGTGGCTCAGGAAAAAGCGCCTTCTGTTTGGCTGCAAACGGCTCTCGTTGCCATCCTCAAAATAGACCGGGAATCGTCACGTTATCAACCGTATTCTTGTGTAATACCCAGTTATTCCCTCAAGCTCCGAAAGGCAAAAGCACCTAGCTTTAAACAAACACATGTTTTTGATTAATTCTTCCTCAGGCTTATACACTAATACACCGTGGGGTAAGGTAGGTCGTAATTCGTCGTATTTCCGCTATCTGCACCTGTACTTTTGCACCTGCTCATTGGTCATTTACAGCTCCCAATCAATGGAAGCCGGACCGGCCTCTCCCACAGAGGTTGTGTTTACCATATGTTCATACTTAATCGTTGTATTTTGCAGCGTACCATGCACGAACACTTCATACGTGTTGCCTTCTATGACTTACTCTTCATTTGCTTCAGTGGACCGCATCCATCTGTGAGATTTCGCATTATGAAGGAGTTTGTACATGAACTCTTCCCATTCTAAATCCACTGCGTTTCATTTCAAGAAGCGATGCAATGATGACTCGGAAACTGTCCCCTCAGTTTACTACGCCAAGCTGACTTTATGAAGGTTCCAATGTCTTTCCGATTCCCTTTGATCTCGCGCCCGGAATGATGTTGGATGGTTACGTCCTGCGTTCTCCTACTCTTAGGTACGTGTTATTTTGCTATCCGATTGATCAGCTTAATGTGGATGCGTAGACCAAATCACCCGCTCCGCCAAATCCTCGAACACTGCCACATCTACCAGAGGCCCATCATCGTCGCATTCCTACACATACGGGCCGCATTTGACTCGGTTGATCGACCTGGATTATGGCATTGCTTACTAAAGAACGGTATGCCCGAGAAGTATACCACCATTCTACGCGCACTTTGCCCTCATATGTCCGGCAGAGTGATGGTCTACCGCAACTTTTCCTCGACCTTCGTTGGCAGTAGCGGTGTGCGGCAGGATTACTCTATGTCCCTTTCCCTCTTCAAGTTTGCAATCGAGGACGTCCTGTATGGAGCTCTAGGTTTCCAAAACTTGGGCTTATAGCACGACCGACTTGCAATTGCTTATGATATCACCTTACTTGGTAACGACTCACAGTATATGTAACTCATTCTGAATCGTTAGGCCGTTGAGACATCTAGGTATGGCATAATAAGCTTCACCCCCTTAGAGGGTAAAGTACTCTGCTCCAGCATTGGACTGTACGCACTCCTGTGATCATTCATGAAACTTGATCAAGGTAGATGGTTTCGACTACCTTGGGAGTTGTGTTTCTGCTGGCGACACTATTAGCAAGCAGTTTCTCTATGAGTTGCAAAAGACTGATTATCATTCGTCAACCTATGGCACTTATGGCTCCGTCGAGACTTCTGCATCCCGATAAAGGGCCGCGTTTACAGTGCCACTGTATGTTATGTGGAAGCGAGTCCTGAGCAATTCGTGTGGAAGCGATTATTTGTGCATGATCGTTCGTGTGCGGTCGCACCACCGAGTTCACCTTGATGACTTTAGACATCGGGTCCTAGGGAATGAGAGTATTCCCATTAACAGCCTTGTTTTGCTGGGCCAGCTAAGATGGCTCAGTCAAGTCCTACACATGGTGCCTGATCATCTGCCGCACTGCGCTCTACTCGCTCATGCAGGACCGGATTGGAGCCGACCGCGTGGTGCACACGATTCCACTTGACGGCAGCACATGAAATCATTGACGTCACATTTAACCGCTTTTAGACCTGTACGTCTTCCTGGATGGGGATCCAAGTGGCTTGACACACTTGAAGAAATGGCCCGCAACCGGAAACAATGAGAGAAGCGCGTGCAGAATTGCACTGACTCGCATGTTTAATGTGTCAAACACTGCAAATGACAAAAACGACAAAATCTGCATGTTATAAACAAAAAATGTCGATCATTAGTCCACTCGATACACTCTGGAAGTAGTCTTCATGAGCTGCGCGAAGAGGAACACACGCACAAACGCATTGCGCCGTGAGCAGATAATGGTCACTTTCAGCCGCAGTCACTGCCCGATATTACGGCCATGGCAAAATGAGAGCTTATATCAGCGTTATCTGCTTACACAACTCCGGCTGAAGTAGTCCCATTGAAATGGCCTGAGTGATGACCAACAAGAGCTTTCTGAGTCCTCTGTGCTGACGATTCGGTACCGGGTAAACATCATTGAATGCGGCATCAGTCTGAATCTGATGATCGATACTAGGCAGATGTTGGAGGTGCGGACATTCTTAACCGTGATATGTTGCAAAGGTGTGGGACAGTTCTCCGTTATCCGCCCAGATGGACGCCTGGTCGTGCTCCCGAGGTATTTTTCAAGAGGTATATATTATTATTCGATATCAATATATACAATTGGCAGTGCCACAACACATAGTAAACGACAACAAAATGGGGAAAAACAAGTCGACAGTGGAAGGGTTTACAAGGTTAATGTGTTGTGCGGGCAGAGATCTTCCCGGTTGCCCAGGCCGAGGAAGAGGGTTGACTTAAGGGACCCCACCCCGAGCCTTTGGTCATAAAGACCTGACCCGCAAGGCAGCGGGACGATTAACGGAGACCGTTGACATCCGGGTAGCTCATTCGCCTTCTTTGTGTTAAGTAGCAGTCCACAGAGAAGTCTCTGTGGACTTCCGCCCACCGTTAGGTACTCACTTCGGGTTAAGAAATGAGTGGTCAGTGAACCTATAGCCGGTCAAACTGGCTTTGACACAGCGCCATACGGGTTTTTGTGGTATTTGATGGAGGATCAGGTGACATCCCGAGAACTTCACACGCTCTGAGGCGCTGTCGCTGATTGTCCGCGACTGCTTATTCATCTCGCCTGCAAGGCAAAGGAGACTTATTAGCAGTTCACAAGGAAGGCATTCTCCCGATCCGCAAACTGGGGACGCGCCCGATAGCGTACAGCTCTGCCACGGGTTGTACCACAGGTGCAGGTGAACCCATATGTAACAAAGGATTCGTAACGTGCCAGGATTCTATCTCCGAGGCTTTGGGTAATGAGAGGAAGTTACAGCGAGGATATGAACTGTGGCGGCAGGATTTTTGTTCATTACCAGCGATAGTCTTCTAGTAAGTCAAAAGTAAGGAAGGAATACATCTATCAAGTTACTCAGCAACAGCGGAATATTTGTTGCTAGACACAGCGAGATACTCGTTGCTCTGTAGTATCTTGTGATTGGTACTCCATTTCAGCTCGTAGTGTTTCTGGATTGCACATACTTGCGGCACGATTGTACAGACAACACAAAATGCTTCTTGTTTACTTTGTGGATACGGAACTAAGCAAAAGTATGTACCGACCCACCTAGGTTGTCTTTCGGAGGATTATACTCTAAACTGAGCCGTCGATTCGATGTCGCAACAAGACATCAAAAAGCGGAAGTTCGCCGTCCTTTTGCTCGGCAATGAACGTTAATGATGGGTGCGCGTGGTTAAAATTGCTCAGTAAGTGAGCGTGGTATTCACACACGATGAAGATGTCATCCATATAGTGTCCATAGAAATGAAGAAAAGTGATATGGTGCTGGATCGAACAGCGATCAAATTTTGGGGGGAAGAAGCAGCAAGCGTCCCTAACGGTGATCCCATTGCAACTCCATTTATCTGTCGATCGTATTTTCCGTCGAGCATGAACTGCTTGCTAAAGGTACGGCGTAGGATTAGCTCTTTTATCATTTGCACACGAATGACAATGGCAACATTGTTATCAGCTATGTACTCGCAAATACAGTTCACAATTTCAACCAAGGGGGCATTTGTGAAAAGCCAATGTACGTCGAAGGAAAGCATCATCTTGTCTTTCGTATTAAAGTATTCCAATTCTTTGACAAATTTAAATATATCTCGCACAGTATGGACTGAAGACTCTGGTTAGCGTCTCAAGTAATTCTACAAACAACTTAGCAACTGAATGCACACGGGAGCGAGCCATACCGATGATAGGACGCAGTAGTGTGTTAGGCTTCTGTACTTTCGGTAGTCTGATTCAGATGTGAGCCGCACGGGATAAGCATCTCGATCATGCAGTCATCAATGGAGTAACTGTGCTCAGCTCCTTCAATGATTTGATGAGTTTGGTTTCTTCATGGGCCCTGCCATCAGTTGGTATCTATCCAAGGCTAAAATTGGTCCTATCAAGCAAAATGGTAAGCATCTTCCCATGTATTCGGACCCAAACATTAGTATCCAACCCGTTCGTTTGTCTCACTGAGAGAGCACAACGTCAGGATTACATGTCAATTCTTTTACGCTTTTCCGAGTATCATTTGTGGTCATCTTCAGAAATTGCGGACCGTAGCTCAGTTAGTGCTGAGAAATCGGTATCAGTGCTTTTGAAAGTGTTATTAGCGAGGAAAGACGTGGGAGTCAAATCAGTTAATTCGCTTTGGTATATCTGGGGCCTCGGAAACACATCCTTCACCGTTATTCTGATGAGTACTCTGAAATCACTGCAAATCGAGAAGTACCGTCGTCATTTTTCGTCACTAGCGCGGCTGATGAATACGTGCTGTGCGTCCGCCTGCTAATTCCTTTCTCTTCCATCTCTGGTATCTGTTTCTGTATCTCCGTCAGCGTATTCCGCGGTATTTTTCTGAAAATCGGTTTGCACTGACCTAGTATTAATGGGATTCGATGTTCCACCCAGTTGCGGAATCCGTAATCATCATCTACGTCCGTGAATAGGTGGGCATACTTGCTTAGTGCACTCCGTATTTCAGGGTTCTGACAATCAGGCAGGACCTTGACTACACCCAC